AAGGAAGGAAGGAAGGAAGGAAGGAAGGAAGGAAGGAAGGAAGGAAGGAAGGAAGGAAGGAAAAAAACATTTCTTTCTCTCACCAGAATATTAGATACTTACCAGCCTCTCTGACATCGGTGTCTTATCTCCATCAGGGAGATGTTGCTCCAAAGCCAAAACGATGCAATTGGCTATAATCGTAGCCAAAATCATATATTCAAATGGAGTGAAGACAACGGTTAAGGAAAAACTCATAAAGACATTATTAAATAAAGGCACCAGCAGCAATTGCATTAATTTTCCTGATACTGAATCTCAATCAGTGGTCACAACACAACACAAAACTAAACTTGTGAAGCTTGGAGAGAAAAAAAGGCATCCATTTCGGATCCAATTTGAAGAGAAGACCAATTTTGTAAAAGGGAAAGCCATGGCTTTCCCATTGGATCTTCTTGTCCAGGTAGAACAGTCCAACTTGGAACCTCACATGACGTTAAGCAGAGGAGCAGAGAGCAGAAGACAACCAAGGAGAATGTATCTCCTTGCTCTCTAACTAACTCCAGCTTCTACTCTATCGATTGGATATTGTCTGGATTATCCAACCCGTTTTCGCTTTCCCCACTCTAAAAAGAGGAGAGGCAGGACTGGGCTAGTTGCTGCGAGATCTTAATGCATCCTACTTCAAAATGGGTTGAAGCCATTTTGGAACCTGTCCTCTACTATTGTCCCAAAAGTTCTTCTTCAAAGAGGCAACTGGACTTTCTGGTTTTCCTTTGAAGACATTTCGCTTCTTATCCGAGAAGTTTCTTCCGAAAGTCCAGTTGCCCCTTGAAAAAAGCACTTTGGGATGACCGAGAATCTCCGTAGACATGTCCCTACTATTTTTTCTCCTTTGACCATCCTCTTAGCTGTTGTGAATACCAGCTGGCTTAGCTATGCTTTCTCGAGCTCACTTATATCCCCAGTGTTTCGGCTGCATAAGAACGGAGGATGCAACCTGCAAACACACCGGGTTGTTAAGAGGAAAGCCTGTTGCTGGTCGGGTGAGAGAATTATTATCTCCGTGATTTCAGATCAAAGGAAAACAACAGGCCCCTCCTGGGGAATTGCTTCGTGCTACACGTGCAGATCAAACGATGTACAGAGAGAAGAGGCTCCTTAGCAACCTAACCCCAATCTTGGAAGTTCCTTTTACAATAAGAATAAGAGTAAAGCTGGAAGGGACCTTGGAGGTCTTCTAGTCCAGCCCCCTGCTCAAGCAGGAGAAACTAGGCCATTTCAGATAAGTGACTGTCCAGCCTGTTCTTAAAAACCTCCAGTGATGGAGCACCCACAACTCTGGTGGCAAGCTGTTCCACTGGTTAATTGTCCTCCCTGTTAGGACATTCCTCCTTAATTCCAGGTTGCTTCTCTCCTTGATTAGTTTCCATCCATTGTTTCTTGTCCTGCCCTCCGGTGCTTTGAAGAATAATTTGACCCCTTCCTCTTTAGGGAAGCCCCTCAAATACTGGAAGACTCCTATCATGTCACCCCTAATTCTTCTTTTCTTTAGACTAGCCAAGCCCAAATCCTGCAGCCGTTCTTCATATGGTTTAGTCTTCAAGGCCTTTGATCATCTTAGTTGCTCTTCTCTGCACATTTTTTCCCCAAACTCCTCAGTGTCTTTTTTGCTGTATGGTAGCCAAACCGGATTGCAATTTTGCCTTCAAGGAGACCACCTCTGTCCTCCTTGGTAAAGGAGTGGACAGTCTTCAAAAACTGGCTAGCTAAGAGAGACGTGAAATAACCTTTCCTAGCTCTTTCCGCTGCCCAAAATCCAGGCAGAAAGATAAGTGCAGGAAATGTCTCTTTGCAGCCCACAAAAGAGCATCTGGATTTAACATGGGGGTCAAAAGGAGGGATGACCTCTGGGAAAGGCTTGAGGGCAACATTAGGAGACAGCCTGGTATTTATCCAGTAGTGAGACAAGAAGACACGAACGAAGGAAGCTGCTTTTCATTGAGGGAGATTCTCTGGCTACCCGTCCTTCATTTCGATTTAAAGATTTAGAAATAACGAAGGGAGATTCCCCAAGTTAGTCCAAGTAGGCAAGATAAAAAGAGACGGGACAAACAAACCCCTCTTGGGCCACCTGGAGACTCCCCGGCTTCCACTCAACCCCAAAGGCTTAAGGAAAGAAGAACAGGCAGCCCTCGACTTACAAGGCTTGGCAACTGGTTCATGTTTATGACGGTCACAGCGTCCTGGAAGCCACGCAATTTCCCTTTTGTGACCGTCCGGCAGGCAAAGTCCGCAGGGAAAGCCGGAGTCCCTTCACAGCCAGGTTCCCAACTTAACAACAGCAGCGCTTCCTTCAGCGCCGGGGGCAAACGAGGTCTTAAAACGGGGCAAAAAGCTCACTTAGCAACCATCTCACTTAACGATGGAAAGGTTGGGTTCCACGGTGGTCATAAGTCAAGGGCAGCCTGTATTTCGATCGGGTGGAAGGGTGGAGCCAGGGAGGCTGCCAGGGATGAAAACCACAACCGAAAACGCCACCATCCCCAGGCCACCCCCCGTTTCCTTTAACAATAAGATCCGATCAAAACGCCGGCTGGAGAAACTGGACCAGAAATTCTCAATCAGGTAGAAAGAGGTAGAAAGAAGCCTCTTTTTTTGTAAAGGGGAAAGGAGACTTCTGAGATATTTTGCATTATTCTGCTCTGGGTAATGTAGACTGGCATGGATAATAATCCTCACGGGTCAAAAATATCAGCCGGCCTCTGAATTGGCTATAAATGGGATGTTCCCAATTTCAAGCGGGCATAGATTTTATGGTTAGGATGCAGCCAATTTAAAGAGATCATCTTTCCATCCCCCCCATTTCTTCTCCCCCACCCCCCTAATTAAGTCTGGATTTAATTATTAGGCTGAATTGTGAACTGTTCAAACCATTGATCACAATGGACAGAAACTGTGAATCCTACCAACAAACAAACCACAGCGTACAAACTCTAATTGATGGCCTCCCGCATGAAGTGGATGTTTGAGCCTTAGGTTTCTTCAGCTGAGGCGCTAGTGGTTGCGCTCCCACCTTGCATTAAGCCACAAATTCAGGTTTAGGAAGCTGCAAAGCTCAGATTGCAACAATTAGCAGCAGCAGCAAACCCAAATCGCGTTGCAGCTCATCACGGGCAAATGTAAGATTGTAGCAATTGATTTTTGCAAAAAAAAAAAAATGCTTAAGATTTTGTCAGTAACCAGACAGTAATGGGAACCATGGGAAGACCCTTCCCCTCTCTTTCTAAACAAACTGGAAAGGTCGAACTGACACCAGAGGAGGAAGGATTTTTTTAAAAAAAAACCAGCTTCTTCCTTAACTCCAAGGGAGGAAGGGAAAAACAATATTTTCCAAAGCACCAGAAGGGCCAGATAAGAAGCGATGGATGGAAACTCACCCAGGAGAGAAGCTACCTAGAACGAGGGAGGAATTTCCTGACGGTGAGAACAATCCAACAGTGGAACGGAAGTTGCCTCCAGAAGTTGTGGGGGCTCCATCCCTGGAGGTTTCCAAGAAGAAAGTAGACAACCATCGGTCTGGAATGTTATCGGGTTTCCTGCTTGAGCCCCCTAGGGCGTCTAGAAGGCCTCTAAGGTTCCTTCCGACTCTCTTATGCTGTTCTGAATACCAGACAGCGGATCATCTGGACCACCCTGACCTGGCCTGCTAGGAAGAGCTCAGGAAGAAACCCTGGCAGGGTGTCGATGGAGCGCCCTTCCTCCCAAAGCAAGCGGGGATGGGGAAAGGGCCTCTCTAGGGGCATTTGGGCAACCCTGTCAAAGCCTGAGCTCGCAGGAGCACCCACGCCCACCCAGCCACATGGCAGACTTGAATCTGTGAGAACAATTCCCAAAACCCAAGTGGACTTCTGGCCAATGGGGAGTGGAGACCCCTCACCCTCGGGGGACCGGGGGGACTGATTTCCGTGCAAAACAAAGCAGAAGAGCTGACCAAAGAGACACCAAAGCCATTTTTCTAGAGAGTCGCTCGGGGACTGGAGAAGAGATGGAGGCCCCTCCTGGCCCCCCTTTCCCCCGACGCCCCTCGAAAGCTCGACTGCTCCCCTCCCCTCAAAGCATTCCTTTGGAGGGAACCTCACCCCTCTCAAAGCGTCCCGAAAGGGCGGAAGGGAAGGGTCCCCTCCGGCCGAGCCTGCCGACACGCCCCTCTCCAAGGCTGGAGCCCCTCCTGCCCACCCCCAGGAAAGAGCCAGCCGTCCGCTGGTGGCCCTCCTTTTTCCACCTCCACGCGCGTCCCGCGGGGTGGGGTAGAGGAGGGTCCCCGGGATGCGCCCCCCCCCACCTCGCCCCCGCCAAGGATATGGCCACTCGGTGATGCGCTTGGCGTATTTGCGGATCACGTTGTCCTCGCTGAAGATGAAGAGGGAGCGGTTGACGGTGAAGCAGTTCTGCTTGACCGGAATGGGGTTGTAGAGAGCCATTGTCCGGGCCCGTTGGGCCTTGGTCTGCTTGTATATCGGGGGCCGCGGGCCCGGTTGGCCGGGGGGGCCCTGCCGGCTGCTGCCGCCCCGGGCCCCGCCGGGCCCCGAGGGAGCCCCCGCGCCGCCAGCTCCATAGCGGCTGGGCAGGTCCTCTCCGAAGCGAGCCATGCTGGTGCCCCTTCTCCAAGCGCGCGGTGCTGGCCCTCCGAGCTGCAAAGACGCATCCCAGCGCCAGGAGGGAGGGAGGAAGCCGGGGCTTCGGGTGGTAGTGCTGGCGGCGGGGCGGCTCTGCTGCTGTTGGCTGCTCTGGCGGGTGGCGAAGGCGGGCGGGCTGCGGCTCGATTCGGGGAGCGGCGGCGGGGAGGAGGAGGAGGAGGCAAGGCGCCGCCGCCGCTGCCGCCGCCGCCGCTCAGGGGCGAGGCTCGGCGAGGCGGCCAAGAGCCCAAGGCGGAGGCGAGGCTGGGGTCTCCCAGCTGCGGCTGGAAGCCGATCCGATCCGTATCAACTTCCCACCCGGGAGCCTCTTTTCCTCCACCCCAGCATGGCGAGGCGCGGGGAAGGCAGCCGGGGCTCCCCCGCCGGAGCTGGGGGGCGAGCCGCAGAGCCTGGCGAGGGGAGACCCAGAAGGGGTTTGGAAGCTACTTAGCTTGCCTGGGCCTCTCTCTCCTCCCTCGTCTTCTTCTTCTTCCTCCTCCTCCTCCTCCTCTTTCCCGGCACTGAGCTTCGAGAGACGCTCTTCTCCTCCGACTCCCCGGGTTTTTCTCCTGGCCGGGGGCGGCTGGGCGGCTGGGCGGCTGGGCGGGGGTCGCCGTCAGCCTCGGAGAGAGCGAAATGGAAACGTCAAAAGCAACCGGTTAGTGAACCTCGCCCCTCCAAAAAAAAAAAAGGCAAAAAAAAAAGCACAGCCAGCTGACAGCCGGGAAGCCAATCAGCGATGCCAGCTCCACCCGACTCCGCAAGGGTACCCAACGAAGCCCCATATCAGTAACGGGGGAGGGAGAGGAAGGACCCGCCCCTTCTCCAAAGGCTCTGCGATCGAACGGGGGGGGGGGGGGGGGGGGGGGGGACGTCTTTGGAGAGCCAGCTTCTCCTTCCTTCTTTCCTTCCTTCCTTCCTCCCATCCCTGTCCCTTTTCTTTCTTTCTCCCACCTGCCTGTGTGTTAAGCTCGGAGCCTTTAAGGAGCCCTGGGGTGGGCGTTGGGACGCTGGAAAGGTGGGGGGGAACCCACGGAGGATGGGACACGGACGCCTCAGGGAAGGACCAAGGGAAGAGACAACCGGAGGAAGAACCAGTTGGCTTGGAAGACGTTGGCGGGATGGGAGTCTGGACTCCGGGAGCTGTCCGGGTGCTGAAACGGAAAGCTCGCAAGCGCATGCCCGCCCTTCCCGAAAGGAAGCAGGCGCCTTTCTACTTTTTCTCTCGATTTCCCAGCTTTCCTAAAAAATGTGATTTTCCTAGAGTGCCGGGGGGGGGGGGGGGGGGAAGGCCCCCAAACCCTCTTAGATCCTTTCATTTGCAGCCAGTTCTGAAGAAAATGCTCAAGCCCCTTTGAAGAGTCTGGCCAGGTTATCTTGGTTTGGCTTGAACCGCGCTTTGGGGTGGGGGGTGGTGATGAGCTACGATGACCAGGGTTGACCCTGGCACAAAGCCCTAGAGGAGACAGGTTTAGAAGCCTGGCATTGTGAAGTCAGACTTGTAAGGCCCTCAACTTCCTACGATCCGATACCTAACAGGTTCACGAAGAATTGAGCGAGAAGAGTGAATCTTGTCGACAAATTGTTGATATTTAAAATATCCACCCTTCCCATTCTTGACAAGACTTTTAGTCATTGGCATGTAGAATTATGCCTGTCTTTGCTGGGAATTGTGGTCAATCTTGAAGGTTTTTATCCCTTTTCCACACTACACATACAGATACAATTTTTTTTTTAATGAAGTCAATGGCCTAATTTCAGGCCTAATCAATAACGAACCCGATTCTGTCCGTATAATTATAGTCCTCAACTTAGAACCACAATTGAGCCCAAAGTCATTCAGTTCCGTTGCTAAGTGAAATGTTTGTTTTCACCCCATTTTACAGCCTTTCTTGCCACCGTTGTTAAGTCAGTCATTGCCGTTGTCATTGCAGTTGTCAGCAACTCGGTTGTTAAGGGAATTCATGCCACTTTCCGATAATATTGCTCCCAGTAGGCACAACTTTGTGTGTTTTGCCCCGTATTTTTGGCCTCCCTGCTTGGCATCCTGCTAGCTTGGGACACCCTAAAGTTTGTTTGGATCCACCTGGCCATGATTTTGCAAAATAATTGGTCTCCTTGGACCTTCGGAGAGGCCTTTTTCGGCAACTGAACTTGAAGCAGACTTACATGAAGAGTCAGACCCCCAAGCTTTTTTTTATTATTACCCAATATATGAAGGCACATTACTCTGCCTTCGGTTACAGCCTGCCCCTGCTTCAAGGCAGTCTCTCAAGTTTTCCCAGATAACCGTCTCTGGATCTGGCCTCCCCCACTCCAGACAAGGCACAAACACCCAAAAGGAAATTAAAAAAAGACGCGAGTGTTGCTTTTGTCTCCCAGGGCTGCGGAGATGGAACACGAACCGTTATCAGAAAGATGAGCAGCTAATAATATTCCCTTGCAAGACGAGGCCTCCGCAGTGAGGATATGGCACACCTCTATCGAGGCAGGTCGGACAACTCCAACTTGCCCCATTTCTCATCACTTGCAGCAAAATAAAAGAGACCAAAAGTTGCAGGTCCATCTGGGCCAGTTGGAGATAAGACAACTTCCAGCAGACACAATTTTCAGCAAAGACAGCACCCTCAGCAAGGAAATAACGGCCATTTCTCCGCCCCATTGGAGCCCGGTTTGGAAGAGAAGTGGGAACTGGGACCGTCCAATAGAGACGGCACGACTCCTGCTTGGAGAGGCCAGTGGTTGAGGACGATGCTGTCCCAGGCCCCTCAGGCATTGGGGGGATGGATGGAAGGAAGGAAAGAAGGGGAGGAAGGAGAAAGGGAGGGAGGGAAGAGAGAAGCAGACCAGTAAACAGTGATTCCATAACCAAATAGGACTCTTCGCCGCCAGCAGGCCTAATCCTGACCCTTGGGGTCTGTTCAGAGAGGCAGAGCCACACAGCCTTGGTGCAGGGCAAATTTGATCGTTTTGAATGTTAAAAAGCTTGGATCATCCCAATGCATTTTCCACCCGTTTCACATTATTGTCAAGCCCAAAATACAGAGTCCATTGAAAATATAGCTCGTTTCTTTGCCCGGATTTTTTGGATTGGAACCGGTTGTTTCAAAAGGAGATATTCCTGAATTGCTGGTGCCGAGATCCACTAAATTGTGAACTTGGACACATTTACGAAGATGGAACCGCCAGCGACGGAACTGCAGCACCCCGGTGCCTTGCACAGGTGGGGCCTCAGCTTACGAACGCTAACAGCCATTCCAAATCAGGGCAGACCCTCAGAAGCTGCCCAAATTTGTCTGCCCAAATGCCCACTGGGTCCAATTTGCCTCTAGTGCCTCCCACAACCGTACGACTCTTCCCCTCCTCTGGAAACGGGCATTTCTTTCTGATTTCCATCAACACAAAGGACTGTTTTTGCTTTAAAATTTAAAATGTTTGCTTTACAAAAACTGTGGCATATTTTACGACGGCTGTGTATGCTTCACGACTGCCAAAAAAAAAAAAAAAAAGTTGCCAAACCAGCCCCACAATCCATTTTACAACCACAATGGCTTAATTTGGGTCATACGTTGAGGACTATCTGGACAGGAAGTCCTTGACTTAACAGCGGTTCATTTAGTGACCATTCGAAGATAGAATGGCACAGAAAAAAAAGTCTTGGGACCGTTTTCCACACGCAGCATCCCTGGGGTCACGAGATCAAAATCCAGCTGCTTGGGGCAACCAACATTGACGGGGGGGGGGGGGGGCCAGGATTCGCTTAATAACCGTGTTCCTGACTTTAACAGCTGCAGAGATTCACTTAACAACGGTGGCCAGGCGGGTCGTGACACGGGAACGCAAAATTCACATAACAAATGACTCGCTTCCCGATGGGAATTTGGGTCTCCCTTCCAGTCGTTAAGTCCGAGGACTGACTGCATTTCCGGCTCCAAAACTAATTCCGCTCGAGACGACGAGCAAAGAATGGAGTTTGTTTTGTTTTTTAAAGTACTTTTTTATTATTATCATTATTATTATTGATCTCATTGAAAACAGAACAAGGAAATGACAGAGCTGAAAGGCAGGGGTGCCCGTTAAAACTTGTCCAAACGTTGAACAGAAAACGAACGAAACGGAGGGAAAGGAGGGAGAGAGAGAGAGAGAGAGAGAGAGAGAGAGAGAGAGAGAGAGAGAGAAGAAATAACACCCAGCCATAGGGACGGTTTAGAAGAGTTGCACCAAGAGAGGGGGGAAAAAGAGAGGGGGGGGGCAAAGAGGCCCCCAAACCTGATACTGCACTAATTAAAGTATTGAAAGATATATTGGGGGAGGGGGAAGAAAAAAGAAAAATAATAATTAAATGACCTGCTCGGTGATCACGCAAAAGGTGACGACCCATTTATGCTCACTACCGTACGACCTATTCGGGGATTTTTTTTTTTTTATTTTGATTTTCTTAAAAAGGGGGAATCCTGGTAGATTGGGTTGGGGTTTTTTTCCTTATTTTTTCCCCTGTCGCTGCATTTCATACTAAAATTGCTTTGTTCTTTTTTTTTTGTTTTTTCTCTTTTTGTGTGTTTTTTTTTTTGTCCTTTTTATTATACAACTGAAATTTATATTCACGTAGTGAGTAAAAATTGCAAAGAGAAAATTCAGCACCGTGAAGTTGCTCAGGGTTAGGTGGGTGAAAAAGAGGAGGAGGAAAAGGCGGCGGCTGGTGGGGGGGGGGGGAGAAAGAAGGGGACTTGTCCGTTCAACACCCCAACACCCTGGTCCCCCCGCTGTCCCCCTCCCACCCACCCCAATCAATTACAAAACAAACTCGGTCCGATCCAAACTTCAGCCTCAAGAAACGGGTCGCTTTGCAAGAGGAGGGAGCAGAGCTGGACTCAAGGAGAACAGGAATGGCACAAAAACCTCCTGGTACTTGCAAAATCCTCCAGCCTCGACTTAAGAAACGCCCCCCCCCCGCCCGCCCCTCACGGACTCCAAGAATATCCGTTTATTTTCCCCCTGAAGACCCCCCCTCTCCCGAGACTCCTGCCCCAAAGTTTCCTCTTCTGATTTTGGAGTTAAGTGTCATTGGAAACAGGATTTCTGTACACGAGAGGGAGGAGGCGAGGAAGGAAAAAATAAAATAATATTAAACATTAAAAATAATAAAAATAATAATAACAACAATAACAACAATGCTGCGGGGATAGAGTAAAGAGGAGCTCTACCCGAGGACTGGGGTTTTAACGGAGAAATTCCAGACCATCTCACTCCCTTGACCTGGGAGAACGTGGATGGGAGGAGCGAGCGAGGAACCGAGAACTGATGGGACTCGGCCTCTGGTGGGATCCCTGCCCCAAAGGCCCGACAGCCAGCAAGTGAGGGGGTGGGAGGGAGGAGTGAACAGCAAGCAAAAATAAAAACCCCCAAACTTTCCCGGATGCGTGCCAAAGCCGGTGGATCTCTCCGAGACTCTCCGCAGTTTGTCGCCTGCTCACCGACGGGTTTGCGAGCCATTTCAACGTCACTTGTTTCCAACGAGGAAGGAATGGGGCTTGGAGAACACTTATCACATTGAAAGAGGGGAAGAGAGAGAGAGAGAGAAAGAGAGAGAGAGAGAGAGAGAGAGAGAAAGAAAGAAAGAGAGAGAATGAGAATCTTCCTTCTGCCACCCCGGTGTGTGCCATGGCGAAGGTGCCTTCCTCCTGCCACGTTGGGAGAGGGAAGGGAAGGGAAGGGGAGAGGGAGGCAAGGAGGGGAGCTGGGCGCCGCGCCACCACTGTCTGCACCCCCAGAAGGGGAACCAGTTACGGCGGATGGGGGCTCGCCGGGAAAAGGGCAGAACGAAACCAACGCAAAGCATCGTCTCCAATGTCACGGCCTGGCTTGGGGGGCGGGGTGAGGGGGCTCAGGCTCTTCAGGGAAGGCTCCCCAAAGCGGGGGGGGACGCCAAGGCGGCCGAACTGGTGTCCGGGAGTCTGTTCTCGGGGGTCTCCTGTGAGGAGGCGGCATCAGTGGTAGCAGCGGCAGCGGCAGCCGCCATGCTAGCCTGCCGCTGAGCCAGGACAACGCTCGAGTGCCTGCATTTTGCTGAGTCGCAGAGACAGCTGAAGTATTTGGCTTTAATGTTCCAGAATCGCTCGCCATAGTCAAACCTGCGGAAAAAGGAATGGGGAGTGAGTGACAACTGGCCAAAGAGGGTTTGCGTGTGTTTTGTTTAGGGGAGGAATTGCTTTTCCTGCCTTTTCTTCACATCCTTATTTTCCCCGCTTCTTCTCTGCATTGTTTTTCTCTGAAGGAGAAGGGGAAGGTGCTCTAGGGGGCGCTGCTCTTCTCCGTCGCACCTTTTCTTCCCAAACGGTTAGAGGAGCCCCTGGAGTCCTTCAGGGAAGCCGCCCGGGAGGCGAAGCGCAATCTGGCTGCCCCGTCGACTTGGCTTGTTGGAAGGTGGCAAAAAGGGGATGGCGTCTTAAACACACACACACACACACACACACACACACACACACACGGGACACTGCGACCGTCATGAATGTAAGTCGCAGGAAGCTGGAACGGCCGTGTGAAAAATGGCCCTAAGTCATTTTTTTCAGTACCATTGTGACTTTGGTCGCTAAGCGAACTATTGTACGCCAAGGACGACCGGTACTGAAACTGGGGGCGACTCACTTAACAATGGGCTTGCTCAGCGATGGAAAGGCTCCTCCTCCCTGGGAGGACGTAAGCTGAGGACTAGCAATGCAAGCTCCTCCTTTGCGAAGCGGTGGGAGAACGGGCGTGCCGGGATAGAGGCAGATCCCTCCGGACCCCGCGGGGGCCTCCAGATGCCGCCATTCCCAAGAGGGAAATCGGGAAGAGGGGCTGCACAAGCGTTTCCCTCTTCTTCCCGCCTCCATTGACCTGGGGCAGAGCGCCCGTACCCGATTTCCTCCCCCGCCTCGATGGGTCTGCTGCTGAAGAAGGCGATTCTGGGGAAGCGCAGGTCCTGGTGGGACATGAAGACTCGCACGGCGATGAGGTTGGGCTCGCAGAAGTGGTTGATGAAGCGGCTGACGTTGCCGTAGAAGCGAGCGTCGATGCAGTAGACGTCCTGGTCCTGGAGAAGAGAAAACGGGAGGAGTGTTACCCGGGGGGGAGGGGAGGGGGGAGGAGGAGGAGGAGGCTTTGAAACGCCTGGCACCGTGGCCGGATTTAAGGGTGATCCAATCTGGCTCCTGATGCACCAGGAGATAGAAGAGTAGGATAATAAGTGACAGGAAGGAAGGAAGGAAGGAAGGAAGGAAGGAAGGAAGGAAGGAAGG